TGATAGAATATAAATAATACTATGAAATGTTGGAATGTATATTAATCAGTCTTATACCACATTGCACTTTCTTTAAATACTGTGTATGTTTATTCACCAATAATGCTTGTTTACCACTTTGTATGCTCAGCCTTGTCCTCATTTCCCTATTTTCTTTCATATGTTTTCTCCTTTGGAAAAATCCATAGTCAGATTTGGCTTCTATATACATATAATTTCCAATGTCCAGGCTTTCTCCTTTCATTTCCTTCTTATTTTTGGTCTCTCGCCTTTTTCCCCACAATGTCACATGTCTCAGTTACCCTTCTTTCTAGTTATATATTTATATATTTGCCTGTCTGTCTCTATCTCTCTTTCACTTTCTCACTCTCTCTGTTCCCCTCTTCCTCTTTCCACCTTTTCCTCTCTCCATTTCCAGATCTCTATTTTGTCTGACATTATTTTGTTTCCTATTTCCTCTCAAAATATTCTCCATCTTTTTTATAACCTGCATGGCAGAATGACAACCCATTTTCTCTCTGCTGGTATGAATTTCCCTTAATTCCATTTGTATCTAATAGTGTGTCCACCACAATTTCTTATATTTATTTCATCCTCACCAAAAGGCTTGTAATATGCAGTAACATATGGATATACATTAAACTGAACACAAATATACATTTTACATACCATCACAGTATGTTATTGTCCAAGATAAGCACTATGAACATGTATTCCCTTTATGTTACATTTTTTCATCATGTTTTTCTGTTGTTAAAAGTTGGTATGCATGCCAAATTCACAAAAAAATCATCTAGTGCAAAACATCTACACGTATACATTAAAAATGTCAAATGGGTTGGTTAGACAATAATAATAATAATAAAAGATAAATGTTCCCATGCAATAAACATGTATATTAACTTTTCTCAACCTTTCCCTCGTCACCATATACACCATGACCTCTAGCTCGCTGCCGTCCCGACACTCCTTGGAAGTGAAAGAACCCGACTTGCTTCAGGTGCCACAGGTCGTTCAGATAGAGCATTTGGCCGCCCCATACATCGACGATGACTGTGATTCTACCTATCAAGGTAAAATATTTTGCTGCAGGGATTTATTATTTTATCATTATTATTGGTGTTTTTTATATATTCTTTATTTTTTATTTAGGACATATTAGTGTTGATTATATGATCCAAAGAACCTTTTATCCAGTAAAATTTCATTAGTAAAGTAATGAGTGAAAAGCATCTTTAGTATCAATGTGATTGTTTCATATATAGTAATACATACTTTATTAAGTAAATTAAATTTTTAATAAATAAGTTGTGTATCAGTAAGATACTTAATTCATTTATCCTTTTTTCCCAGATGATGAGTGCTGTACAATGGTAACTGAGTGTGATTCACTAATGATCTCAGAAGAGGATCATACAATTCAAGAGGAACCGGCCACTATCAGTGAAGAGAATGAAGTGTCAAACTTTGTCATACCAACCATTTCTGCATCTGTGGCTCAGGAGGCCACATCCTTGCAAGTTCCTCCCCCAAGCATACTAAGTCACACATCAGATGTGAATCACCACAACAGCAGTCAGCACCACCACTCCAAATACCATTACCCAAGACACTCTCTCTTTGGCCATCACCATTCTTACCCGCCGCCATCATCATATTCATCAGCGCCGTCTTCATCATCATACACACTCCTGCCCGTCCTTGAGCCTCCTGTATTGGTGACAGAGAGCATTGAGCTTCACGCCACTGAAGGCTCTGCATGCTTGCCGCCAGAGATCATCACCACCATAGCGATGGAGGAGTCGTCATCTTCATGATGGTGCAAGAAAGGAAAACAATGCTTCTTGCTCAGGGCACTTGAAAATCCATTATTTTTTACCATCTTTTCTCACTACTACATTTGTGTAGTTATACCTAATATATCCCTCTTTTTTCAGAAATATGAATCATTCTAATGTTTTTTTTTTAGTAGCTTTTGGTATACGAATTCTAGGTCAGCGTGAAAAATATTGGGAATGAGATCTCTCTCTGACTTCATGTTTTCCTACTTGCTTGCAACAAAGTAGACTTGATTATGAACAATAAGCAGCAATGAATCAAGAGGGTCCTCAGGCACTGAGACCTTCTTTTGCAAAGTAATCTTTCACTTGTCATACATGAGGTATCTGAGCTTTCTATGTGATAATTGCTTAATTTGTAAGATTAAGATTTGATTCTAAATAAGCCATGACCCTCAGTTCTCTTCATTTTCTTTACTGACCTTGTGAATTTTGCTGGAGACATCTGTATCACTCTAAACATATTTGGACAGCACTCAAACTCTTTAGTCTTCACCCAGAGGTCAATATAAGTCTGGATCAGCTACAGATAGGAGCTTAATTTCTCTTCTATTTTCACTTGGTAATATACATAATAGATTTCCCATAGTGGCTTATCAATGACTAGCATATAATTTAAAGTCACTGAATAGTTTAAAGAATGAAACAGGAGAGTAGTATTGGTCATAAATTAACAGGTTTTTCCTCTTCTGGAGTGGGGATAAGCTTGTGTGTTCATTAATGTCAAAATGACATATATACATATGAACTCTACATAAATGAGATTCTGTACTCACTAGTACTTTGACAAGATGTAATGAAGGTGATGGGTTTAATCATGAATATTCTATGAAAAAACATTTTCATATTTATATTCAGGTGTTTACAGTTAAGTCTGATATAGATCAGAAAAAAATACATCTTGTCACTTTTGGTGCTGGCTTAAGTCCAATTAAATATTCATATTAGTTTTAATATTAATGCATCTAATCAGTAGATGATCTTTGACAGGGGATACTAAACCTTCATAATTTTATCTTATGAGTTTGGTTTCCTTTGTCATTTCATCATTTAGATCTCTTCATCACACACAAAAAAAAACTAGTCTTGGAAACAGTATTAGTAATTTCTGGTATTTGTTACGGTGAAAGAACATTGCATCTCAATCAGTCCGTGTAGTCGTGGAGATAATGAAGTATATTCATACATTGCTAGTCAATTCTTTCTTTGTCTTTTTTATCTTTAGGCCATTGCATTTTATAGAAAACATAATGTATCAAATACCATAATAACACTAAAGGGTTCCTGTTGCCAAGATTGTTCATTTCCAGTAAGCAAACCCTTGAAGGTAATAATGTTCATTTTTGAGTATGGTACTATTCCTTGTCTACCTTTCATGTGAAACTTTGCTGCCAGTACAATTCAAATCATGGATTTTCTAGCACCGATCCTCACCAAACATCTAACAGAATAGACGTTTGTGGAAGTTTTATCACTTCTTTAAAGATTATTTTCATACTTTGGCCTTCATGAAACCCCTATGAAAAATAAATATTATTAATCTAATTCATATCGAAGACATGGAAAAGGAAATCCAGATCTTTGTTATTTTGGCATAGTAGCAAATTCTAATTATGGTACTTTTGATACACTCATTTAGAAGACAAACAAGCAGTTACATAATGACAGCTGTCTGATAACATTAATAAATGGATCAATAACAGAGGTAGACATTTTGGAAGAGTGAGATAGATATGCAGTTGAGAGAATAATTAGTAGGCAAACATCACCAAGCTGTAAAACTTGTATGGGATTGAAATCTAACTTATTTATATTCATTTACATGGTAATATTTACTTTCTTTATGTTCCATCAGCATTTTTTACTGATTTGAATGTGCATGTGTGTGTGTGTGTTTGGGTGTGCATGCAAATGAGTATATGGGTGTGTATGTATGTCTGTGTTTGGGTGGGCATGTACGTGTGCGTGTGTATGCGTGTGTGTGTGCGTATGTGTGCGTGCGTGCGTGCCTGTGTGTGTGTGTGTGTGTGTGTGTGTGTGTGTGTGTGTGTGTGTGTGTGTGTGTGTGTGTGTGTGCGTGGTGCGTGTGGGTGTGCGGTGTGGGTGCGTGCGCGTGTGGGTGTGTGAGCGTGTGGGTGCGTGCGCGTGTGGGTGCGTGCACGCGTGCGTGCGCGCATTTGAGTGCATATGCATGTATGCGTCTGCATGTGCGAGTGTGTGTGCATATGCGCGTGCTTGTGCATCTGTCTGTTTGCATGTGGTATGGATCACTTCAACTTTTTTTTTTTTCACATTCATCTGTCAAAAATCTTACTGAAACTATTCCTAGATCTCTTAGACTTGTCTTTTCAAAATGATAATATGTATTGTGATATTGTACAGGATAAATTCATAGTGTGTATTTTACAAGACTGATGTATTTAAATATTGACATGCTGAAATTTATTTTTGATTGAGCAGTTGTAAGTGATGAGTCATTTTTTCTTTGTATGTTTTTATTTATTTAGATCATTAGACTGAAATGTTATTTTCAACAATTATCTTTAATAAAACAACTAATTTGTCTTAGAATAAATCTACCTCTATACATATATCAGTGAAATTCCATGCATTTTCTAGATACTGAATGTCCTATTCACTGTGAATAATGGTAATTAATTTTTTATCACTATGTATTTCCCTTATTCAGTTGGGGATTATTATTATGTAATGATATTTAACAAAACTATTTACTGGTTAGTAGTTTCATGATTTTCAAACAGTATTTACCACATATTTTGAAACATATTTAAGTTATGGTAATGATTTCTTAAGATGTTTTATAGGTAATATCCCTTTATGTATGTTTTGCAGAGTATTTCTGTTTTAAAAATTTGTCTTGGTTGCTTGAATCCATCTTATTAATGCTCCAGTAACATTGCTGTTATTGAAAAATATTTAAAATTTAAAATACGGCTATTATCAATAGTGTGCTAGATACAGTATTCCATTACAGTACAAATACTGCAGTTTACATAAGGTCAAACAATGTGTCTATGCACATTTTGGGTTCATGAATTGTATATGCATATAATCGTCATTTCCTCTCATATACAAAACAATCAATCAAATTTTATTGATGTAAAATAAAAAGTATCAGAGATCTAAAGATCTTGCTCCTGTTCTCATCAAATTTCAAAAAGCCATCCTTCTCGTGGTGTGGTGGTAAAAAGTTACAATCAGCTTATAATACTCACAGGAGGAAAACCTTTTAACAAAAATGTGTTAAGGCTTACGTTTGTCTTTCATGTCCATTACTCTCAAAAATCACAATCTTTCATCACCACATTTTCTTGTATTCTTTCACACTTTTCACAGTACGTTATATATAATCATAGACTATATATACAGTTTAAAAATATATATATATATATATTAGCGGATTTTATAAACAGCCACTTTGATACATACTAGTGAGGATTCTACAAAAAAAACTAAAAAAAAAAAATTAGTTAGATTTCATGCTTTATACACATAGGAAAAGGATTCAATAGAAAATTTAATAGTTCTTACAAGAAGCAGTTTAAAAATCACTACTTAAATCTGCACACCCTAGCAAATACATAAGAAATTTTTGCGCAAGTTAAGAAAATAGATCAGTTAGTAATGGCAAGGATAGTTTTTATATTCATTACTTTTTTTTCACTAAGGAAGAAGATAAAAAAAAATCCAAGACAGGCAGCTTTATGTCATGCTCCTTCAAGGCAAGCTAATTTGGGCCTACTGCTTTAATTGATTATGGCTCAATCTCCTATTTGATTATCTCACATTATACATCATAAAGTTTACCTTCTTTAACATGCTGTTTTTCAGCATATCTATTAAATAGAAATTTATATTTTTTGGTGAACAATTTATTGCCACTTGAATATCATGGCTACTTTTGTATATAGTTACACATTTTCTTTAATCTTAGATTATACAAAAAGCATAATATCTGTTTGAAGAATTATACTTCTGAACAGAATCTAAAGTGCCTAATCTAAGAATAAATATTTAGTTTGAGTTTCATAATCGTTTACACTATTTTCTAAAATATATTTTCTGAATTATTTTGGGAGATTTTTAGGTCTAATGATAATTAACAGCTTCTTCATATACCTTAATATAAAGTGCTGAATATTGATAAAGTAATGTCATAGCAAAAACTGAATTACAATTGAATGAATTACATCATCTTTCAGAAAAAAACAGCACAGGTTTAAGAAGTAAACAATAGTCTTTTCTAAACAGAAAATCAATATGTATCATATTATTCTAACACAAATCAAATTTATTTCACATTCACTTAATTGAATTGTTCCATTCCTTAACCAAATCAACAGCAACGTATAAAGAAGGTAGACTTTGTTTTCCAATGTGTGCAGCCCTTCCCCTTGCTTCTATTGTTATGTATTGATATAAAGAATTATGTCGACCCTTGTGGGTTACTGAGATTTTCATATCTGTATATATGGACATTTTTTTCAGTTAGTAAACTGGTGGTCAAGAATCTTGGGAATGTACCCAAAACTAGGTCACTCTTACAAATCACATCTGTTGTTAAATTTTATAAGCAGGTCTTTACAAATGGATTGTTCTTGATACAGTTAAGAATTACAACCTGAAATGGTTAACAGATTATTGAGAAAAGAAATTGACAATATTTTGAGTAATATAGGTTATTCATGGCATATTCATTTATGATCTGGTCCGTATATTATTAATATATTTTCAGAATAATACTACGGAAGGTTTAGTTGCTTTAAAATATTGTAGAGAAAATTGTTAATTTAGTTGCCTAGCTATTGTTGTTATCCTGTTATATTGTTATTCATTTTAGTATTACATAACATGCTTTCAGTGAAGTTTTGTCAACTGTGAAAAAAAGAAAGAAAACTGCTTCCAAATTTTGCTCATGGCACATGAAAGAGTAAAAAATATAGCGATAAGTTGTTATACAAGTTATTAATCAGCAAAGCTAAAGGTTTCAACTGAAGGTGCCTGGGTTGTGGACAATTAATGTTTATTTTGTTTTAACTATTAAATTATTTTTTCCCCCCCCCAAAGTCCAAGAAGAATGCCTGTACGAAACAGTAGCCAGATTGTTATGATTAACTAGGATCTTATTTGCTGTTTTTAGGGACATGAGTATAAAGAGCAGATGCTACATCCTTTGCGGCAAAAGACTGCTGCCTGCCATATCACACTGTTACAAAGTTCTACTGTAGCTTCATTAGCCAAATTTTGTTACATTTGCTGGCATCTCTTATATGAAGGCACATTGTACCATAGACCATTTTCACATTGTAGAAAGGCTCTCAGTTATGGAAGCAAAATATACAAGCTGATTAGCATGTATAATATATGAATATAATAATATTCATTGTTTGGTTATTGTGAATACTATATTTGCCAAATAAAGATTTTGCAATCAATGCCCAGTTTTTGTTTTTTTTCATGACAATAATATACAGATTATTTAGAGTATTATTTACTTTATACACAATATTCCATCAATTCCTGTATTATAAAGTACAAAAAGTATAAGAACCACTGGTCTACTAAGTAAAAACAATTGAAAATAGTAAAAACAATTATTTTCAAAAAAAAGAAATCCAAAGTTAGCATTATTTCATTTCTAAATGGTTAATGGAGAAAAGCGAAGTAAATGTGCTAGACATCTAAGGTCATATAGCACTATTTCATTTCTAAAATTATTTCTATTTGGTCAAAATAGGATTTGCTACAAATGAGATTTTTTTGTCCTGTTTCTGATATGTATTATTACATAAGCAAAAATAAAGAAAATATCTATAAACAATTTAAATTACACATTAGCTTTACCAATCAAATACCACTATAAATTTTCTTCGTAACATGAACTAAGGGTTCTCACTTCATTGTTCAAGCAGTAAATTCATTAAAATGGAAACACTACCACAATACAAAGGTTTCTATTGTAGCCACGTTTTCATTTTAATTGTGTGTACATGTGACAGTATTTGTGTTTAATTTCAGTTTATCTGCTCCATTTTTTTTATGGACTTGCAATAATCAAAACCAATACAGTTTATCTATTATCTATACATATATAATATTATTATATTAATCATATTTACCTTGAAGGCTAAGTGATATTGCTTTGAATAGTAAGAATCAACAGTACAAATGTCTGTACATTATAGAAATATTTGCTAACAAATGTTATTACCCTTTTCATAGCTCCTTTTACATTCATGTGTATTGATGAAATAAACAATAACTGGAAAATAAATGCAAAAAAAAAATAAAAATTATCATTTCATCACATTATAATATGTGCAGCCCACAAACAAAGAGCTTAACCTGAAGATTTAGCAAATAATAGTCATATAAATATTCAGCATATTCTCAAAACTATAAAAAAAAAAAAAAATGAACAATAATATCCATATTTACCAAAACATTTTCCTCCACTGATCACAATTTTGTAAATATTCTAAAATTGGAATCATCTATAATGTAAAATCTTGTATAAACTTACCCTTCTTTTTTTCATCATAAGAACTGCAATCCCCATGAGAGAAATACACTACAAAAAATTTAAGTTCCAGAAAACAATTATTCAAGACAAGATACATGCTCAGTAATTTTGATATGTAGCTCTGAACTTCCTACAGCAGATATATGCTATTTTGTTTTGTGTTTTCAATGTTAAATAATAATAAAAAATATAATACATCTTTTACTTCAGTAATTCCCAAAATAACTATTTCAAATATCAATTTAAATCCATATGTGAATTAAAGCTTAATAACCATATAATACAGATTATGTGACATAGTAGTGTATATACATAATATATACATCCAAACTGCACAGTAACATATCACATTACTTGTTACATAGAGATACAGTTTATATCTAATCCTCATTTAATATTATATACAGAAACAACCCCATTACATTATCTTACTACTATTTATTGAATTAACTGAAAAAATACTATCACATATGTTATTCATATATTATATCACTCTAACACTAAGTGTATATACAGCCTTCATGATGATTTATCCACAAATTGGCTTATCAAGTATGTATGATTATGAATTCTGAGGTACCATGGTGAACTGATAATGGTGTGGAATGGAACGTGCGAAACATGAAGCCTCATTTCCATCACCCAAAAACTGTTGTAAAGACACTTTTAGGTGTTCCTGGTCTTCATTCACAACACTGAAAAGTCTGTCGCAACAGCCACACTACAAGTGCTGTTGCTGTACTGTTGCTAAAAATTTGACTCTTATTCTTGAGAACAATACTGAAGTTGGCAAGTCTCATTTTATTGTTGAATCAGTCTTTGATTATGTGATATCACATTATAAAGAATAAAAATACTCATATGCATCATATGACATTTTTGGTGGCCTGATGATGCACAAAGTTAAAGTATAAATAATCTTTAAAATCTCTATTCATACCCTTAAAATGTATTTCTTATATGTCATTATATGAAAAATAATCTAAAGAACTAATATATCTTCTGATATAAAAGTTCATACAGTACACTATCATTGACATACTGTAGCATCAAATATACACTTGCCATTCCTTTCCATTTCTAAAACAAAACTAGTAGCTCTCTACACACCCATTTGTGTGGCGAATTTGTTTCTGGAAATGGAGCCAGGGTCAAAACAAAGTGTTGCACAACAGTTTCTAATTGGCAGAAATGATGACTAAGTAGCACCAGTTTTGCTACATCATTTAATGTAGAACTTACAAAATTGTTATAAAAGTTCTTTTTAACAAGATAGTCATTTATTTTTTTAATCATTAAATCTTTTACCTAAGTAAGGTTTATCATTCTGTTTGGTGTGTATTGCATTGTTTATAAATCACAAATAATTCAATATTACAAGTATTAGAAATGTTACAAAATGTAGCTATAAGAGCAATATATAGCAATATTGTCCCCCCATTATAGAATGCACAACAGGGCAAGTAATAAAAGTCCCTTTTCCCTACTTTTCAGTAAGCATTTTGGTGAAACAAATACCTATTTATCACTTTGCTCAGCCATGTTTCAAAAATCCAATTTATCAATGTATTTTCTTACTGTTTGGAACTTAATATAATATCACAAAAAGATGCTTTACAAGCTGGACAACCTATTAACATAAGTCACATTTGATGTGGCAAAGTCAATAACATTCTTTGGTAAAGTACTGTGAAGAATGATAACCCTTGACAGCATGAAACATCAACTCGTACCTCTTTCCTCATAAAAAGTACACACTACATTACATTACAAGATTACATTATAACTTTTTTAACTTGCTGGGAAAAAATGTAGCACTTTTCACAGGATTTATTATCAAAATACTGTAATATACTTTTTTAACCAAGCACTTAGTATACCTGAATATGTAAGTTAGTTACAGCACCACTATAACTACAACTGGCATCACAGTACAACTGGAATATGCATTGATGAGTGATTAAGTTAACTGCTATTTAACATTTTGAGGAATGGAAGAATGAATTTTTATCAAACAACCACAGATCAAAATATTTCCTACACAAGCAAAATCCCTATCAACCCGTTTATCATGAATATGTATGGATACCATGAGGTCCATCATATATTGCTCCAACTGAAATCCTGATCCCAAGGTATATTGTGCATCAGCCTGAAAAAGCCAAGGGTTCATCAATCACCTGCATAAAAATAAACACAATTACCTAAATTTCAATATAAGCCGATAAGCACTCATTTAGAGGTATGTATCTATGCTTTTTTGTTAAATCGTATTTACCCAATTGTAAAAGTACCTATTTTTGTACATAAATCTCAGAAAGTACACTTGCATTATACTGCCCCCTGTAATTACTTCTTAGATATTTTTGAAGAAGATAATGTGGAGATTTCTGTTTACTGATTACTTTAATAGTGATTACTTACTGACTAGTTTAAGAAGACTTTCCAATACACAGAGAGGTTTACTTCCACAACAAAACCATAAAAAAAAACTCAATTAATAAATAAAGTAGTCAACTAATAAACAAGTAGTTCTATTCACCCACTTTATTACAAGTCCAGCTGCAACTTGATTTTTCTCTTCTTCTTTCCCTCTTTGAGAAACGACACTGCTTTCTTATCCCAGATTCTGTACTGCAATGCCTTTAAAGCGGTGTATTCTAAGAATAAAAATAAAATACATTTGGATAATAAATTAAAAATGTCAAAAGCAACTGAGGAAAATAGGATAGGAAATTGTAATTTTAAATTTCATTATCAAAACCATTTTTAAATGCTATGTACTCATCCCCAAAATATGCATAAAAATGTATTAATAATTTCAGTTGTAATTTTCATTGCATATTATGAACAAAATGCAAATTGTTTATAGGGAGATCTTTAATACTATTTCATAATTTCATTGCAAAGAAAGAATCCAATATTCTGATAATAGAGCTGTAATAACAACAGTAAACTTGCACTCTTACCATTATCTTCTCTAGCTAGATTCACAGTTAAGTACTTGGTAGTGACACTTCTCATGGCTGATGGCTCCACACAGGGCAGCTCTTCAAGTGGCAAAACAGCTTCCCCTAGTATACAATCAGCTTGGACACGATGTGACATCTTCAGCACAAAGAGGAGGTGGCCGCCTGACTTTGTTCCGGTGTCAGTGTGGCTTATGAGGCTGTGGAGGCAATAAAATGCATTGGTCAATAAGTGCAACATAGTCTGGTTTGAGTATTATCTAACCTATGCTGATTGTATCGCAAGCTTATAGAGGAAGGCACTGAACCAAGGATTTTGTAACAAAGGTATTTTTTACCTTTTTTTTACAGTATTGTCGGAAATATATATTTCTTTGTATTCATTTATTGAAATGTAGATTATGGATGATATAACAATATTGAAAAACAATCTATTTTCTAGCACAAAAAAAGTATAAAGCAGACATAATATAGAGAAAACATGGCAAAGAATCACATAAATTCAGACTGTTTCAAATACACTCATATAAAACCATCCTTTTTAAAACTCCTTATGACACATTATATTTAGATAACTTTTAAATCTAGTAAATGCACACTAAAGCTAATCAGGTCAATTACAATTCAAATGATTCCTTATATACTGGTGCTTCACTCTTCTTCTGTATCTTGGTTTTTTGATTCCTGACATTCGGGAACCATTCACCAGGCACAAGTTTCACCTGAACATATGTATCTGGTGACTTTCCTGAGGACATGAGAGGGAGGACAGGTGTAGGTTCATGATAGTTTTTAGGTTTCACTATATCATTAGCCATGATGACTTCAACTGTCAGGTTACCAGTTGTGGTGAAGTATGCCTGGAAAAGAAGAAAAAGGCATTGAAAAAGAAGAAAGAAAAGGATATATACAATTCGAGTATATAAATGTATCCAATGAAGTAATAAATATACTTTGACCACGTATCAAAACCTGCAGCAAAATGCAGGATATACTGACATCAGCACATTTACATCAATCAAAGAGAGAATAGATAGTCAATTGGTTCTATCTTTTTTTTCATTCCTGCCATGATTCTGTTTATTCTTTTAGTAATTTGTTTGTTTAATACAGATTACATTGTTAAATACATATTAAAGTTCACCAATTGACTATTTCTATTGGAAACCTTCATCCATGGCCTAGCTATCAAAAACAAACCTCAACATCAAAACTTTACATTGAAATTAAAACTAAATACTGAAAGAAAAAAAAAATCCTCACATCAAGGTTTATTCTTAAACGGATATCAGAATCAAATTAAATTGATTGCTTTAAAAGTAAAACCAACATAAAAACTTTTAAAGTCTGTCCTCTCCCTCACCAAAACTACAAGTCGAGCAGTCAGACTAGCTCCAGGTTGACTCTGCTCTTCAAACCTTTCTCTGTAGTACTTAGCAACGAGAGATTCTGTCGGCATCTTCAAGTTGCCCAGGGTATCCAACAAGTTCTGGTATTCTGAAAGCAAAAATTGATCAGGTCTTACAGGCATCCAGATGTGCAGGAAAAGAGGGGGGGAAAGAGAGAGAAAAGGACAAAAACAGAGGGACGGAGAGAGACAGACTCAAAGAGTGCTTCAGGGAGGCAGACACAGGAAAAAGAGACAAAGAGAGACTCAGAAATTGAGACACAGAGAAAGAAATTGCCCAATAAATCCCATAAATGTAGAACATCAATGAAGCACTCAAAGTAAATTGGATATTTACTCTAGGTAATAAAGAGCATCTGTTCTACTTACCCATTGTGTGTGCCAGCTGTGGATCAAGTCCTTTGGAATTGGTTGGAGAGTGGGTGAAGAAATGCCATGTGCGCTCAAGGATGGTGAAGACACCGCTGAAGAACTCTGCATTTTTCTTCTGTGGGGGAAAAAGATGTTTTCTAACATCAGTTTCATACTGCCTTATAATGAAGAATGCTTTCCTTTCTCTGTTCAACTATTTGTCAATGCTGCTTGTTACAGTAATTTTAAAATACTACAAAAAAGTAGTGAAGAATGATATTAGTCCTGTTTGTATGTTATCTTACTCTCATTTTATTAATATGTCCGTGAATCACTCTATAGTTTCAGTACAGAGGATAAAATTTCACTTTTCAACTGCAATTTTTAGATGTATCACTTACATCACAGTTGCTTTCAACTAGGCTAACAAAGATGGCAACAAGAACATTCCAGATCTTGCGCAAAAATCTCTCGAAATTTGGCCGGGTTAAACAGTTATCAAGAAGAGACAGGTACTGATCCAAAACTTTCTTCAGTAAAGGTGTTTCATTAACCATTTCACATGACTCCATAACTGCTTGGTTCAGGGTCTGCCGCAACTGGAATGATAAATCAAAGCATGATGCATTTTTCTGCAAAGTATCAATTGACTTTTTTCAAAAATTTGGTTAATCCATCTTAAAAGATCAATATTATCATTATCATGATGACACATAAATATCATCCAATAGGAAATTAGTATCTCAGAGTTAAAAATAATGATAAACTTCAGGCCAAGTTTGTGGTATATCACAAAAAAAGATATTGCTACAAGAGAAAGACAAATTTCACAAAATTTGAAAACTCACCTTCTTAATAACAGTATCTATGAATTTCTTAATAGATGTTTCCATCTTTAATGTTGTGTTGGTGATGACAGGATACTTCTCGTTTTCTATTGCAAGGCCAAAGTGTCCAGGGAGCTCTTGAATCTCTTCACACACATACTCAATGTTGTTTAGAGCTCTGCATGTCTGCAATATGTGGATTGTATTTAACATAGATGGATTTTAAAATACTGTATATTAAGTGCATTCCAAGGATACAAAAAAACTGTCATACATTAGAACTTATTGAACACATTTTTGCTGCTGACAAAGTATAATAAACATGAATTAATGGGAGGTAGGGAGTATTAGAAATTTTGGTACTGCTTGGCAACCTTCATCCAGTTACACCTCCTGAAACCTTCCCTATTCCCCTGTGCCCTTTAGTCACTTTATCTAACTGAGCTACTCATACCATCACTTCTTAAAGGAATGAATTTAGAAAACATAAAATAAGATTTATTGTAATGTATGGCAAGTACAACCCCCAACATACACCTCTATTCTCCTTCAGGTTTCACACTCCCTTGTTTGCCTGAGGCAATCATACAAGTGGCACTGGGCATTGTTGTAACCTATTTATAACACACTAGCAAGAGATGCATGTTCTACTGTGGAAATTCAAGTTCTATGAACATTTTTTTAAAATGAGGTTTGAGATGCTGAAATTTGATATTTTTGCTGATGGGCAGCAGGGCATGAACAAAGAACTGCAGTTTACATAGCATTCAAACTTCAACATGCTTGCTTAGTTGAACAGACTTTAATACCACTCCTCTTGCCAAAAAAGTTCTTTAATATGAACAGTCATACTTTACTCACACATCTGGCCATCAGTTAAAGAAACAATTTATATTAACAATGAACATCTATTCCTATGACTTTTATTGCGACTATTTCTACTTGGCCGTGCAAGGGGTCAATCATATTCCAGTAAACTAAACTAACCTACTATATTCTAAAACACTTCTCCAACAACTTGGCTTTGTTTTTTATATAAACAATCCTTAACTCTTCAACATAT